GACATGAAGGATTTCTATGAAACGAGAGACCATAACCTAATGTATGTTGTAGATATCCGAGAATTTTCTTGATAGCTTTCCAATAATCTTCAAGATTATGCATGTATTGAGAGACACGATTGACTCCAAAAGATATGTCAAGTTGCATAATACATAAGTATTTAAGGACACCTATAGTGCTTCTATATAAGTAAGATCCGAGAATTTTAAACTTATTAGTTGTAATTTGGTAGCTGAATAAACTAGTGTTGAGGCTGGATTGGAATCTTCCATTTGATTTTTAGTTAGTAAATCACATACATATTTCTATTGGGAGAGAAATATCCCTAAGGCTATCCAAGACACTTCAATGTCTAAAACATAGTGAAAAAACCTAAGATCCTTTAAGGAAAAACTATCCTAAAACTTACATATGCCTATAGTCATATGGCTAAGATCATTATCAGTCAAAATGAGGTTATCAACATATATGAGGTAGTATATTTTTACGGATCCAAAAGTATAGATGTATAAAGAACAATTAGTTTTGGTTCCTCTAAACCCAATTGAGGTCAAATTATTTATAAGACACGTAAAACACATTTGAGGAGCCTATTTTAAGCCATATAATGATCTACAAAGTTTATATATATAACCTGGTTTAGAAATTCCTAAAAGTCTAGTGGTTGCTCCATAATACATCCTTGTCTAATGTGCCATAAAGGAAGGTATTGGACACATTTAACTACCTTATACACCGATCAAAGGAGAATACTATGGACAAGACTAGATGAATTGATGCTAGTTTGATGACTGGATTAAAGATTTCAATATAGTCCACACTAGAATGCTAGTGAAATCCCTTAGCAACTAAGCAAACCTTGTGGTGATCAATACTCATTTATGCTCTTTCTTTGACTCGGAAGACCCATTTGTAGCCTACTATAATCATGGCTTATTGGCAAGGAACTAGCTCCCACATGCCATTAATGATTAAGGTATTGAATTCCTAGCATGATATCAAGAGGAGTCTTTGATATCCTATTTGTGACAAGTCGAACAATATGTGCAATGAGGTTCATGGGTTTCTTTGGTTTGATTTTTCTAATAGCTGCTCGTGTGGTCATGAAATGTGTTTTTGTGAGAGGGGGACGGGAAGATTTTTGGATATGAAGGTTACTTTAGACGTTGAGATGTCTATTATAAGTGGGATATTTGGCTGAGAAGAGATGAGAACTGGATTGAGATTGTGAGCTAGAATGATCACTATAGGTAAGATATTACTTACCTGTAGAAGTAAGGTTTGGGTTGTGGCTAGGTTATAGGCTGGAATGAAGGCTATGGTTGATTAGTTTACGGTTGGTGTAGGTAGAAAGAGATTTTAGGCTTGGGTAGGTTTATCGGCTATGCTTGATTGTTTTGATCTAGTGGATCCGTTGTGTGGTGGGTGGATAAGAATTATGAGCTGAGTTATGGGTTGTTATGATGGTGGTGTTTGAGTAGGTCTATTGGGTTACGGATAGACAAATATTATGGGTTGGGTATGGATAATGGGCTAGATTGTTATTTGGTGGAGAATTGAGTAGTGAAAAGGATGTGATGATTTGATCGAATAAAAGGGTGATGGTGGAATTTCAATATGATGGCATAGCTACAAGCGTAGTAGTACATATGCGTTTGAATTTTGATAATGACTTATTGATTTTAAATGCAAAGATGAACTGTGAGAAGTGGTATATGGTGGTGTATTGAGGAGAGTGCCATTGGAATTTGGACTTGGTGTAGGCTCTTGATTAACTACTTCAAACAAAAATAATTATTCATTAAATAAAATATGGATGAGATATAAATTTTGAAAGTGGAAAAATCTAAGCATTTGTAACCTTTATGAAGTTTACTATAACCTAAAAAAACATAAGATTTAGAGTGAAAAGCTAATTTATGAGGGGCATTTGGATGTAACCACGAGTAACATTGATAAATAATTTTTTAAAAGAAATTGTAATCGAGTTGTTGTTTTAGTAAGACTTTAAAAGGACTTTGGTGGTTGAGAAGAGGTGTTAAAATTCTATTTATGATATGAACTACTATATCAAAAACTTGAGGTTAATAGGATAAAAGAACAAAAAAATGATGTTGTAAGTATCTGCTAGTTTCAATGATGTGCTCGAAGTTTGCATTCAACACACCTATATTTATTCGAATATGTGAAGATAAGAACTACTTTGGATAATGTCATTATCACTTAAATAAGGAGTTCGGGCTTGGTATTCGCCCCCTCAATTGACTCGAAAAGATTTAAGTGAGCGACTAAAGTATTTCTCGACAGGATTATAAAATTTTATGAAAAAAACTTAAAACCTCATATTTTAATTTAATAAAAAATATCTAGATATATTTACCGAAGTGATCAAATAATAACACATAATAACGAGTCCCTTTAAAAGAATAAATGGGAGAGGGTCCTCATAAATTTGAACTAAATGAATCTAAAAATTTCTCATTTCAAAAATTAGAATCACAAAATGATAATTTCTTAGCCTTGTTAGTATAACAAGCATCACAAAGATGAGAAGATATATTATTTGAAAAGGAAACGAAGAATTGGCTAATGCACACTTAATAGTTTTAATTGAAGCATGACCGAGCCTAGCATATCAATTTGAAAAAGATGTTAGATTGGCTCTGAATTTGGTAACGGGTTGGATGTGAGGAACGAGAGAATAAAAATCATAATTTATGATGTTGTGATAAAGCTCCCCCTCATTTGAATATCCTTAATTATAAAGTAAGAGAGAAAAATTCAATAGAAACATTATTAGTTTTGGTAAATAAAGAAACCGATAATAAATTATACTAAGCTTCAAGAACATTTAAGAAGATATTTAAGGTGAAAGAGTTTCTTCCAAAAGAGATAATGCTAGAACCAAGATTTGAGATATTCGATTTGAACCATTATCTATTTAAACTTCCTTAGGTTCCATGTATTCATAATGGTTACCAAGGTTCTCCAAATTAATAATTAAATGATGAGTTGCACTCGAGTTTAAAATCTAACGTTGGTAACTAAAAGCTATGAGAGAGGTAGGAGGATGATTGTTGAAAGGAGAGGGTTGATGTATTTTTAGACTAGGATAGTAACGAGGTATGTGCCTAAGACCACGATAGTTGAGGCATTAAATGATGCCATGGGAGGTATTTTGTGGAGTGGAACTAGTAGGAAGAAGAAGAATACCTTGATTGTTATGGTAGTTTTTTTAGATAGGTAAAGGAAATGACCACGACCGCGTATCCCAAAGTTGCCACGGCTTCTATCTCTACCACGATTGAAAAGTGTGGTGCGAGCGGAATAATCGGTTCGTTGGAGGAATAGAATCAAATGAAAAATCATCTTTTGTAAGTTGAGATTCTTTACTAAGGAGAAGACCATACAAGTCGAGTATAGGAAATGGGTTGAAGCCTTGTTTCAATGATGCGGACAAACGGACGGTAGGTTGGTCCAAGGTCACCAAGAATATAAAATACAAAATCATCCTCAAGAATAGAATGATTGAGAGCAAAGAGTTGATCAAAGATAGTCTTAACTTGTATCAAGTGAATAGAGATGGAATCATTTTTTACGATTTAGGTGATAGAGTGAAGTTTTAAGTTGACGAATGTGAATAGCTAATTCAAAAGCATATGTTTTGGCAAGTTTTTACCATGCATCTCAAGTTGTTTGGCACCTATAATTTGACAGAGAGTAGGTTCTATAAGGAAGCAGGCAATCCAACTTAAGATAAATTGATCTTTTTTGGAACCAAGCGAGTATTAAAGATTTAGAACATTATTAGAAAAATGAGGTACCGTAGGAACAACAAATCCATCAATATGATGAACTAAGTTATGTCAATATAGGAGGGGATACAACTGCATTTTCATAGTAGGTAATTTGTAGGTGAGAGTTTGATGGATAATTGGTTTGAGTTGGGAAGAATAGGAGTGGTAGAATTTAAATGGGAAGGTGTAGAAGAGATAGTAAGAGATGTGTCAAACATAGTGAATTTAAAGAAAAAGAAAAGTAATATGTATAGAAGACAAAGCAAATGATAGAGACATATATAGATGATTTAAGCTGTAGGCTTTGGTAGAGGGGCAGACAAGTATAGTGATAAACTTGCTGGAAAAAAGAACTTATGCAATAGTCTGACAAAGAAAAGATAATGGTGGGCTCAAGCAAGGAAAATGAAAAAAAAAACAAGAATGAAAAGAGAATGAAAGAAGGTGACTGCAGTTACATGAGAAAGTGGAGTATCGAAGGAGGCTCTAATGCAATGTGAAATACTTTGTATATCAATTGTAAGTGTTTATATGCTAGAGAATATATAAAGGAAATAACAGAGTTGATACAATAATCTAACTCTATTTCAAATATAAGATAAGAATAACATCTTTATCCTGTATTTGAATTTAACTTTCAAGCAACACTAACCTTATCATTTATTACTTTGTGTTTAGTGATTACAAACTGAATAAGAAATTAAAAGTTTTCTAAATAAATTTCGATTTATATAAGAAATTACAAGCTAAGTAAAAAAATTTTAGATTTTATCGGTACAAATATATCCATTTTTTTCAATATAACTAAATTTTGAAAAAAAAAATCAAATTTAAAAATCAAAATTAATATTTTGGTTCGGTTTAATTCTATTTAGTTACTTGCTTTTAACCGAACATTAAACGCGGTAATAATAAAATCCAGAACTTTCCCAACCACCTCTAATTCATCAACGGTGTCGTCGCGTGACAACTAGCGATCCGTCCCAAGAGAAGCCATAAGGTTTCTTCTCGAGGTTCGCAGACCCGTTTTGTATTAGACAATTTCGCCCTTCTATAAAATTGCCTCATCTACTTCCCTCCTATTACTAATCTTCTTTACTCGCATTCTCCAGTCACCACGTGTTTACCTACTCAAATCACATACAAAGACCCAACCAATCACAGCGCTTACCTACGCTCTCACACTCTCGAGAGTAGTACTTATGTTAACTCACCCAACCCCAAGAAGGTAATTTGAAATCCAACACGCGTTCGCTTGTTCTCGTTATTTAGTTTCTAGAGAGCTCGTCTGCTTTCTCTGAAACCAAACAGCCTCTCATCAGAAAAGCTTGACTTATCCGATTTTGGGGTTTCGCTTCAAATCAATCAATCAATATCTCACATCGAAACCCTAATCTCCGGATCAGGTAATTCTCTTTGCTCTAATTTGTAGTTTTGTTATTTTTTTATGCTAATTATTTGCTTAATTATTAATTTTGTGAATCTTGTTTAAAAAGATCAGATCTTAGTGGATTAATTGCATGCTTTAATCCTTCTCTTGAAAGATTGTTTTTCTCGTCTCTTGATTGTTGGGTTTTGTTTTTGTTTGGTGTTTTTTCTTTTCTTCTATTGAAGTTAGGGTTTATGTGTCTATGGTCTGACTGTCTTATTGGGTTCATAGGAGTGATCATTTCCCTACGTTTAATTAGATAAAAGAAGATGGTCGTTATTTAGTGGATTTTTGTTGAAAAAAAGCTAGGTTTTTAGTTGCAACAAATTGGTTTCTACGTTCACGTGACTGTTCTTGTTTGTATGTTTGTTTTGTTCATAAGTTTGTGTTTCGGATGTGGAGGCAATTCGTAGTAATCTGTCATATTTTCTGTTTTGAGTTTAGTAGCTTGTATTTTCTGTTTTGTTACGAGCAACTTGTTGATCGAGGATTTTGTTTGGATGCATTAGCCGCTCACTTTGTTATGTGAGTTGCATGATTCGTTATTTCGTAAATGTCCTTAACTATTTTCCTCCGAATGAGCAGGCTGAAATTATGTGTTTTCTATTGGCTGCTGCTTGTTCTGGCTATGTGTACGCGCTGTCATTATGTTAAAACTATAACAACTTGATTTTGTCTACTAAGAAATGTGCAGTGATATTAAAAAGAAGGAACATCTATTGTCCTAGCAAAGTTTGTCTTATCATTCCGACTTTTTAGTAGTGTTTTAGACCCTGTTAATGTGGAGTCATTGCCTTTCAGGTCTGAGCTTTAAGGTTGTTGGGCTTCCTTGAACATTTAAGGTTTCATGTCTGATCTCGACGTCCAAACTCCTGCTGCTTTTGGTAAGCTAGCTTTTTTACTCATCTTAAATTTCCTTGCTAGTATGTTCACTAATTGTATTGTACTGAGATTTATATGGTCCTGAGATGTGACAAAACTTACTACAACATCAACACCTAGATGTCTGACAATTATGATGTTCGTTATGGTAGATCCTTTTGCTGATGCAAATGCTGAGGACTCTGGTGCTGGGGCAAAAGAGTATGTGCACATTCGTATACAGCAACGCAATGGTCGGAAAAGCTTGACAACTGTGCAAGGTTTGAAAAAAGAATTCAGCTATAACAAGATACTGAAGGACCTCAAGAAAGAGTTCTGCTGTAATGGTACAGTGGTGCAAGACCCTGAATTAGGCCAGGTGTGTGTTTCACCTCAGTATGTAAAATAGTGTGGAATTTTTAGTCTCTCGTTGCTTACGTGATTGCTCTGTATAGGTTATTCAACTTCAAGGTGACCAGCGCAAGAATGTCTCTACATTCCTTGTTCAGGTAATTTTCATCTTAGTTGATGAGCCTAACAATCAAATTCTCTCTCTTTTGGGTTGTCTCCTAATGTGGATTGATATTTAAATGGATTCAAATTTTTAAACTTGTTTTGTTTGGTCAGGCTGGCATTGTGAAGAAGGAGAATATTAAAATTCATGGTTTCTAAGCTGCTGCTTCAACAAATTAAAACTCTGCACAGTGCTCTCCCGCCCGTGTCGAGAACTTTAGAAATATCATAGCTGTTACTATCTTTACTATGTTTGTTTTGATATGACATATGCATCTACTGTTTCTGTTGTTATCTAGATATCTGGTTTATGTATCGTGGGGGGATAATGAAATATTTGAGAGTTTCAAATAGGTATTACCATCTTGAGTCGAACATTAAATTGTCGATAATATGTTGGTGTTGTTGGTTAAGGTTCAATTAATTGACAGGAAAGTCCGTAGGTGGTCCTTCGCCTTCCTCAGGTCACACTAGTTGTGACTGCATCGGGTACTCGTTCGTTTCCTTTGTAGAAGAATAATACTATTTTGTTATGAACAGTGTCTTCGACGAACAAGCTCTCAATGGCAATCCCAAGCTGCTGTTGGGACTTTTTTTGAGACATTTTTGTTGTTCACCTGTTGGTGAGTGACAAAGGCCCAACTAAATTAACACCTTGCATTTAAGCACACTAAGGGAAAGGGGTCCTTTCATCCTCATTTCCATATAGGGAAAGCGCCTGTTGGATTTTACTTGATGAACATAGGCTAAACAGACTTCGATTTGCGGTTGCAAGGAGCTATGAGCATTGTTGTTATCCTTATGAATCTGTCTTTATGTAATAAAACTCGGTGGATTCTACTCAAATTTTGTACAGAGGACAAGGTTTGTCTGGATCTAAACCTTGTTCGAAACATGTTATATGCACTTATTATCCATGTGCAATTACCCTTCAGAGACACATAACAACATGTGAGGTTGACAAAATAAATCTTGAACCACATCCTTTGAAATCCGAGTAAATTATAAATTAGTCCCTCTAGCTTTGAAGATAATTAAAAACGAACGTTGCTTAGGTGAAGTGATGGATAACAAAAACCTATATCCAACTAAGGGTGAGCATAATTCCAGCTAAGGGTGGGCATAATTCGGTTTTAACCGAAAAATCGAATTAAACTGAAATATCTATTTTGGTTCGATTTTGAACTTAAAATAAGAAAAAAAACCAAACCAAAAAACCTATATTATTACAGTTCGGTTCGTTTTTTTTCCGGTTTAAACCGAAAACCGGAACTATGAAATTTAGAAAAAAGAAAACCCTACTGTCCAGTGTCCTCAGTCCTCACTTACTCTCTTTCTCCGCTCACGGACTATAGCATGGAAGCCACTTGTAAGAAAAGAAGGTACACCTGTCAAATTCAGTCAAAACTTGAATCGTTTTTGACCCTTCAAACCCTATCCACAGTCCACGTGTCCTTAAATCTTTTTACGTAACTTAGTTCATATCGTCTTATAGAACTTTTTTTTTACATGCTAATGACTGTCTAGCCGTTGAAACCAACTCTTGAGATCTGCCCAAACTTCTAACGTCCGTTATAGCTGTTGTCTAATGATATTATGAAGGAAAAAAAACCGTTATATATTTCTAAAATGCATTTTAGAAAAATAAAAAATTGTTGTAAATTCTATTGGGGTTGTAAGATGTTACTGACCTTTTTTTTTTTTTTTTGGAAAAATGAGCCCAAAAATTGACAATCTAAATCATATCACTAACGCCGTGAGTTAATCAGAAATCACAGTATCAACGGCTCATATTCTTTCCCACACAGGAACTCTGCCTCTCCTCACTCCATAAATACTCGCCTTCTTCTTCACTTCACTCCAGACCTAAAGCCTTGAAACACAGTAAAGCGAATCGTTGTTCATCATGGCAACCATGGCTACAAATCTCACTTCTCTCTCCTCAAAATCCCCAAAACACACTCTTTTGGGCACTTCATCTTCTTTCCATGGCACTCCCATGCCAAATCCGATACTTTGTCTACAGCCCACAAAATCATCTTCATCGTCCAACGTTTCAGTCTCCATGTCTTCTCCACCGTATGATTTGAATACTTTCAAGTTTGAACCTATCAAAGAGTCTATAGTGTCAAGAGAAATGACAAGAAGGTACATGACGGACATGATAACACACGCAGATACTGATGTTGTTATCGTTGGTGCTGGCTCTGCTGGGTTATCTTGTGCTTATGAGCTTAGCAAGAATCCTTCTATCAAAATAGCTATCGTTGAACAATCTGTTAGCCCTGGTGGTGGTGCTTGGCTTGGTGGTCAGCTCTTCTCTGCCATGGTAATCAAAATTCTTCCTTTTTTTTCCTTTTCTTGCTTGTAATGTTAATTATTAATTGTATATGTTAAACAAAAAGATAATACTACGTTGTTTTGTTAATTTTCTTTAAGGATATTTGTGCTGTTGGTTTTTGTCCTGTTTTATTGGGATGTATTTTATTTTGATTTTTTGGCATGGTGGCAACTTGATGATAAGGATTGATAAAAGTACGTCTTTTCTCCCTCACAACAACAAAAAAAAAAGTACACTTTTCTAAAACGATAATACAAGGTATGGTCCCCTTGTTCTTTTGGGCCTTTCTGCTTGGTCAGACCAAAAAAGAAAAAGAAAAAGAAAAATTAAAGCACTACTGATTTGTTGGACATAATATAAATTTCAGTCCTTGATTGCATCATTTATTACATAAGATTGGAAATTAAGGATCTAGTTATGTTAAAGATATTTTGAAGGAATATTCTTTTTGTGATTTTTTTGGATCCTATTCGAGCTTGTTTTCTAGTGTGCAACTAATCTATGTGTTGTGGTCTTGCGGTTATTTCTTCAGAATTTAAGTAGAAGATTAAGATATTTTCCATGCTTCATAATTTTTATTTAATTTTCTCTCGAAGGAGCTTGCTTGTACAAGGTTCTTGATTTTGTAGATATACCTGTAATTAAAGAAAAACAATACAATTATCTTCACTATCCACATTTTATGAATTAAAATTTGAAATTGATTGTATATTTATGTCTTGATCAGGTTGTACGCAAACCAGCTCATCACTTTCTTGATGAGTTAAGCATCGAGTATGATGAGCAAGAAGACTATGTAGTAATCAAGCATGCAGCTCTCTTCACCTCCACAATCATGAGCAAACTCCTTGCCCGTCCAAATGTTAAGCTTTTTAATGCCGTGGCTGCAGAGGACTTAATAGTTAAGGAAGGAAGAGTAGGTGGAGTGGTCACTAATTGGGCTCTTGTGTCAATGAATCACGACACTCAATCTTGCATGGACCCTAATGTGATGGAGGCCAAGGTGGTTGTGAGCTCTTGTGGACATGATGGACCATTCGGTGCTACTGGGGTTAAGAGGCTGAAGAGCATTGGCATGATTGATAGTGTGCCAGGAATGAAGGCCCTTGACATGAATGCTGCTGAAGATGCCATTGTGAGGCTAACTAGGGAAATTGTGCCTGGAATGATTGTAACTGGCATGGAAGTTGCTGAGATTGATGGCTCTCCAAGAATGGTAACTTTTAATTTCCCTTTGCTTCCAAATTTGTTGGGATTTTTGTGCCCAATTGAGATTGTTCTCATTTTCTCTTTAACTTATGAGCTACATATTCAAAATCTGCAACTAAAATTGGTGTTTCAATTCATCTTCATTGTTTTTCTCAAGTTGTGTAACTAATAATTCAGGTGACTTACGCTATTGTAGGTTGTGCAGTTATATCTGTAAAACTATTTTTACACTCTCTTGACTGCTTTAGTAGTTAGGATTTCTTTGTTTTATAATATAATTAATGCAAGGTGGAATCTAACTATCATTGGAGAGTGTATTATCCACATTTCCTGATCTTTAATGAGCTCTGTGTTCATGAAATGCATGTAGCCTGCGATTATTTACATCCATTAGAGGGTAGATAGATTGGGCCTGTCATAATGGTCCCCTGAATGATAGATGATGTGTACAGAAATATCATATCTTGATGGACCACTATGTCTTATTCCTGATATGATTTCAGGGACCATGAAATGCTAAAGTGAATAGGGTTATGGCTTCTTGAAGTTTTATCTAGAGCATTTGACAAAATATCAATTATGTTTTGAGCTGCTTGTGATGAGAGCTTGGTGCCCAAAATTTAATCTCATTTTTTAATGGAAATTGATGCGTTTGTGCGTGTTCAGGGACCAACATTTGGGGCAATGATGATATCAGGGCAGAAGGCAGCTCACCTTGCCTTGAAGTCTCTAGGGTTGCCCAATGCACTGGATGGAACGTTTGTGGGAGGCATTCATCCAGAGCTGATCCTGGCTGCTGCAGAATCTGCTGATATTGCAGAGGCTTGAGTGGTAGTAATAGTCTATAAAATGTCACATAAATAATAGGCAGTAGAATGAGTTCGAGGGATTTACGGCTGAGGCTTTGTTAATAATCTTGGTGCGTGCATGTCTATTGCCTGTGTTTGTTGGGACTTGTCACTTTGTAGTTGAAATAATTTAGTTCTTGCAGCTCTTAGTACCTGGTTGGCTATCTGTTATTTCTCTCTGCTGGCTATCTGTTAATTCTCTCTTCTGCGTTTCAAAATTACAGGGTTTGCGTTGCATGTAGTTAAAAGACTCATTTTACCGTAACATGCATTTCTGGTGAAATTCTGGAATGCCATATCCTACTTTCTGATAAATTTCTTTAGCATGATCAATGAACCACTGAACCACAAAAATCTTTGTTAAAAACTACTCTTGGGTGATCTCATTGATAAATGAAGGCTTGAGATTGCCAGATTATGATTTCCACCAAATTGTAAAGAGAACGGGTAGGTGCTGCTATACTAGGGACAATAGAGAGCCTGTTAAATGAATCCTGGGGCTAAACTAGGCCAGCTTGAATATTGATATGCTAGGCCACCAAAACAGTGGCTTTATGATGCAATTTCCCAGTTTATCATTGAAGAACTCTAAATTGCAAAGACTACAATGAATATTAATGTAACAACCCTTATTTGTGAATTGAATCCAAACGATATAATTAGAGTTCAAGTTCGTTTGAAATAAGAAAGAAGAGGACGAAATTCAAGATTTCCAAAGAGAAAACAGGGAGAAGATGGAGAGAGAAGATACAGTTGCTATGAAATGAAGTGTACAATTCTGAGCTTCTCTCTGCCTCGTTAATAAATACAATTCTAAGCTTCTCTCTCCGTCATTAATACCCTAGCCGTTAGAGACAAATCATACTGATCTATAAAACAAGCCATGCCATTATTTCTTCCAGCCTACGTGTCTTTCGTTTGTTTAAAAGACTGCCTACCTTCGCCATGTATTATTCTACTGCAACTATCTTCTGCAATTCAAAATCCACAGTTAATTGAAAATCCATAGTCCATGGTCCATTTTCCTCCTCCTGCATCAATATCCCCTCCTCAATAGACCTTGTCCTCAAGGTCGAGATGTGAGAAACGTTGCTCCAACTCAAAAGCAAATTAGCAATTGGCATCCAAAAGAGAACTATTAGAGCATTAGATTAACATTTTAGTGATAGCTTGATTGCTTCGTTTCACCATTTTTCTATCTAAAATAGCCACGGGAACAACTGATGTGTCCATGGAGATAGGAAGTGTTTCTTGAATTGGAAGCTGACAATAAGCAGGTTTTAACTGAGAGACATGGAATGAGAAGAAAGGTTTAGCTTTTATGTTGACTCCCCAATCCTATCCAGAACCTTGAATGGAGCAAAGTACTTGGGGGATAGTTTCTGAGTCTTATGAACACTGATAGACTACTGCCTATAAATTTACAACTTCAAATACACCCCAGTTCTCAATTTGAAAGACTCTGCCAGTCCTTTTCTTTTCCGCTTGAGTCTTCATATGGTGTTGATTCTTGCTTAAATGATGCTTCAACAATTCAATTATGTTCTCCTTTTCATGCAAAAATTGATAGACAAACTCTACCTTGCAATCATTTGGTAGGTAAGGTAAATGTATAGGAGGGAAATAGCCAAATAATGCCTCAAAAGGAGAGCGTTTGATGGTGGAATGGAAAGAGGTGTTGTACCAGTATTTTGTCAAACACAGCCACTTCCACCAATGGCTTGGAAGGGATGAAGTAATACAATGAAGGTAAATTTGTAAACAACGATTGACTACTTTGGTTTGACCATTTGTTTTTAAGGATGGTAGGCAGTAGATAACTTCAAAGAAACCTCTGGATATGCAAACATTTCCTTTCAAAATTTACTCAAGAACACGACATGTTCTGAGGCAGTCCATGAAGCTTAAACACATAATCCATGAACATTTTTTCTACAGAAATAGCAGTGTAAAGGTGAGATAAGGACATAAAATGAGCATACTTAGTTAACCTATCCACCACAAAAAAATCACAGATTTACCTTCTGATAGAGGTAATCACTCTTATGAAATATATTGCAACATCTATAAATATAGTTGAAGGTAAGAGTAAAGGGTTAAGCAAACCTGGACTGGCGATATTTTCATATTTGCATCTCTGGCACACATTGCAGGTACAAATGAATTCACACATATCTATGGCCAATCCTTTCCAATATAATAATGTTGTTATTCTTTTAGCAGTAACCTCAATTCCAAAATGTTCTCCCACTGTTGAGTTATGAAACAAGGATATAAGCTCCCTTTTTAAATCCTCTTCTTTGCTAACTTCCAATTTACCTTTTCTTCTCAACTATCCATCCAGCAATTTGAATTCTTAGTGTGAACCCCCATGTTCTTGTTATTGAGCCATCACCTATTTCAAATAGGGATCTAGATCCCCAAAAGACTTAATTCTTGCTCACAGTTATGTGGAAACTAATTACAAAGCCAGTGTAGACAGCTCCACTCTAGATAATGCATCAGCTGCCTTATTCTCTCTTCCCTTTTTGTACAATATTATATAGTCATATCCCATTACTTTGATAAACCAAGTTACTTGATAGCTAGATAATGATGCCACTTTTTGACAGTAAACAAAATAGTAAAAAGGTCTTTCTTATAACCAGACAAGGATTGATGTTTAAGAAAAAGTGTTTTTACTAATATAAGCCAAATGATGTCCCTTTTGCATTAGGATAGCCCCAATAGCAACCCTAGAAGCATCTTTCTGAATAACAAACTCTTTTTTCAAATTTAGTAAAGCTAGAACACGAGTTGTAATCATTGCCTGCTTCAATTCTTGAAATGTAGATTCAACAACCACATTCCATACAAAACCATCTTTTTTTAACAAATCCTTAAGAGGTTCAACTATCTTTCCATAGTTTTGCGAGAAGCACCTGCAATAACTAGTCAATCTCATGAACCTTCTTAATTGTTTCATATTTTTAGGTGGTGGACACTACTAGACAAATGCAATTTTCTTTAAATTAGTTTTGAACTTTCTGTTATGAAATATAGTTCTCGAGATGTTTTACATTTGGAGTGCCAACTATGCATTTTTATTTCTTAGCGGCTAATGTATTTTGTCTCAATGAAGTCAAAAAAGTCTTTAAATGTTGCAAATGATCTCCAAGTGTTTTGTTGAAAACAAGTATGTCATAAAAAAAACTAGGATGAATTTTCTAAGAAAAGGTTTGAAATATCATTCATTAACGATTGAAAAGTACTGGGAGCATTTGTTAATCTAGAGAGCATAACCAAATATTCGTAATAGCCATTATGTGTCCGAAAAACAGTTTTAAAAATATCATAAGTATTCATCCTTATTTGATGATAATCAACACGTAAATCCGAGTTTAGAAAAAATAGTTGAACCATACAATTCATCCAAAAGTGCTTCAATGATAGGAATAGAAAATCGATCTTTGATAGTTGTTTGATTTATTCTTCTATAATCCACACACATTCCGCAAGTATTATATTCGTTCTTAACTAATACCATTATAGAAGAGAAAGGACTTATGCTAAATCGTATGATCCTATGTCCTAACATTTCTTAAGTTTGTCTCTCAATCTCATCGTTTTGAATAGGAGGGAACTTATATGGTTTCAAGCCAATAGGTTCTAACCCTTCTTTCAAAGTAATGCTATGGTCATAAGTTCTATAAGGGGGTAGCTATTTTGGTTCTTCAAAAAAATCTTTAAATCTCTCTAAAACCAACTCTATCTCAAGATGAATGTTACACTCCAATTCTATTCCAAATGTTGATATTCCTATCTCCTCTATAACCACTATCCGATTTAACTGCAGACCAATTTATATAAGGTTGTTTACACATAATTCTATCAAATTCCTTTTCTTCTTTAGTTTAATCGCCTTAGCACTAGTGCCTTGTAACTTGAACATTTTCTCCTCCTTAATGAACTTCATCCATATATCTTTGAAGTTTCAAGTAATATCTCCTAATGCATATAGCCATGCAATATTCAAAATCATCTTATACATACCTAATTGCATTACAAAAATAGTAGTTTCAAAAGTTTCCCCTTGTATTTCCCATTTAAAATTCTTACATATATATTCATAACAAATTTCACCCTCCATCACTCACATTCATCTGTTATATGCTTGAGTTGTAGTTAACTCGTAACTATATTTCCTTACAAACTCCAAATCTATAAAATTGTCGGTACTTCTCGTATCAACTAAATTTTCATCTTCTTTTCTTTAAATTCTCTCGTAACCTTCAAAGTTTGATATTGTTCCCATTTAAAAACTACATACAAAGAGATTTGATATAATTCTCCTCCTAAGTTTCACGCAACATATAAATATTCCCTATTACCCTTTTCCCCATTTCTTTCTCCTTCTTGCTCACCTATTTCACCTTCCTCTCGCCTCTAGTATGAACATCTATCTTCCATTACATTTATGACCAGTGAAGTACTTGTCATTATAGTAATAACATTGTCCATTCAACCTCCTCTCATCTAATTTTTTATTACTAAATAGTCTTTTAGACTCGAACATAGAATTCCCACTCTAGAATTGAGATGGTAGAGTTAGTAAACCCTTTAAGTTATTGCTTAAGTTTTGGGTAAAATTTATTGGTGTTTGCTAGTTTGGAAAATTTGGAGTCCTAAGGATATTGATATAATAGACCTTTGAGTATTCATGGAAAATTTTAGTTTAGGTCTTTGAGAGAACACTAAAGTTGTCTTGATGTTGAATTTATTAGGAAAATGCCTAACTCTCTCTCTCTCTCTCTCTCTCTCTCTCTCTCTCTCTCTCTCTCTCTCTATATATATATATATATATATATATATATATATATACGACTCTTCATTTATCTTTGTCATTTCGTACACCATAATAAAATAATGATGCGTAAGGTAAAACTCGGTAAGTATAATTCATACAATGCATATGATGTCCTTGATGCATGAATGCACATGATGCGACTTCATAAAATCCTTTTTCATGCCTTTGAAAACCAATTTTCTTTTCTTTTTTTAGGTGCATCCTTTCCTTAACCATTTTCTTGGTTGAGGCCTTCACCAAATCCCTCAACCATCGAGGCTTTTACCAAATCCCTCGACGGAGAAATGCTTTTATCATATTCTTCGAGTAAGGCCATAACAAATCCCTCAACTATCGAGGCCTTTATCGAATCCTTCGATAAAAAGGTGGGTTAATTTCTTCAATTGGGGCTTTCACCAAATCCCCCAATCGTCGAGGCCTTTTACCGAATCCTTCGATAAAAAAGTGGGTTAATTTCTTCAATTGGGGCTTTCACCAAATCCCCCAACCTGTCGAGGCCTTTTACCGAATCCCTCGATGAAGAAATAGCATTATCATGAAAACCATGAAAATCTTTTTCCTTTTTTCTTAAAAACTTTTTTCTTTTCCTTTTCCTTTCATCAAAATCATAAATATAAATCCCTCTTTCATGATAATGATGTATGTGAGTAGATGAATTTAAATGAAATACATTGTAATAAATATGACTATGGCATACCTACAATTTCACCTCAAGAATTTATTTAAACATTATAAATCATTCACATGTTCTAATGATCAAGTATGCATGCAACATAAAGCATTTTATGTACAATCCATAACCATAAACAATATCATAACAAGTTCAAGCAAACAAGCATTGTAATCAATACATTTTTTTCATATAAACATAATAATTCTCATTCCTTTTAATCCTCTAAGCCTCACATTTAACAATTTTTTCTTCATCCATGTTTTTCATACTTAGCCAAATTTGGGCAAGGTGAAGGACAATCTCTCATTCTTTCAATCTAGCCTTAGGAATGTCTCTAAAACAATTCATCAAACATGTGGTAGGCATTAAGTAGTATAACTACCAATATACGGATGCATAGGCATTATTCACCCACCTTGTTCATAGAACAAGGATAACATCCAAACATAAAAATTCATATCAATTCAAACATTCAACATCATTTTTTCTCACATCACGGACATATAAGGAATAATAAACCAATCCAATTCAATCATGAACATACAATTCTTAATAATCCCATTTACAATCCCTTCATCAAGTAAACCCTAAATTAACACACAATGACAACTCAAACATCAAGATCTTATGGTGTAGGTGAGGGTAAGGAGTTATACTTACCTCACTTAGAATTTGACCTTCTTCTCTCTTTTTCTCCTTTGTTCCTTCTTTTCAAGAAAATTCGACCAACTTGGAGAATTCTTCCCTTCTCCTTGCTTGATCTTCTAAGATGATTTGGAGGCTAATTTAAGGTGTTTCTAGATGAATTAAAGGTGAGTTTGGTGGTTTTGGATGGGTGATCTCTCTCTCTTTGACCTAGGGTTTTTCTCCCTCTCTTTCTTCCCTTTCTTTCTCCCTTTTCTCTCTCCCTGATTTTCTCTCTATGCTTGTCTAGAATTCTAGATTTTTTTAACTTATTTTGTCCGTTAAGTTTAACTAATAGGTCCTTAGCATTATAGACACCTTACACTTTAGTCCTCAAACTTCCAATCCTTGCAATTTGATCATATAATTTCAGTCCGTAACTTTATTTTTTCATCAATTTGGCCCTCATCTAGACCAATCTTAATAATTTCAATTAAGGACCATGATACCTAATCTTTGTGATTATAACGTTATGTTTTGCAATTGCACCGTTATGACAATGCATAACTATATCAAATAAGGGTACCATTGTTTAATTCATCCTTCCTTTATTTTATAAACCCATTCCATTAATTTTACTTGTGTTTCTTTTATCCTTAATTGAATTTTAAACTTCATTTACTCATTCAGTTAATACACATTTTTATTAATTTACAAAATATTTATACAATACATTTACATTTCTAGAAGTGTTTTAGTCAAAGATGTTACATTAATTATTTAACTCATTGTTTCAAAGTAAAGCCTTACGGCTATCCATTTTGCACTTAAAAACAAAAACTCTTAATCCAGCTACGAAATCTTGCATTGCATTAGATTATGTAATGTTTGGTTCGGATTGGAACGCATGCTTATACTAGTTAATCTCATTTAAAGACGTTGTTACTAAATTAGTTTTTTTTTCAATAATGTCCAGTTTGGATTGTACCATATGCTTATAGAACTCAATCCGCTTAAATACGTTGTTACTAAATTAGTAGTTTTTTTTTTTTTTTTTTTTTTTTTTTTTTTTTTTTTTTTAGCAATGTCCAGTTTAGATTGGACCACATGCTTATAGCACTCAATCCCACTTAAATACGTTGTTACTAAATTAGTTTTTTTTTTTTTTTTTAGCAATGTCCAGTTTAGATTGGACCACATGCCTATAGCACTCAATCCCACTTAAATACGTTGTTACTAAATTAGTTTTTTTTTTTTTTAGTAATGTCCAGTTTAGATTGGACCACATGCTTATAGTACTAAATCCCACTTAAATACGTTGTTACTAAATTGGATTTTTTTTTTATTAGTAATGTCCAGTTCAGATTGGACCACATGCTTATAGCACTCAATCCCACTTAAATACGTTGCTACTAAATTGAATTTATTTATTTATTGTAATGTCCAGTTCAGATTGGACCACATGCTTATAGCACTTAATCCCACTTAAATACGTTGTTACTAAATGAGAGTTTCTTTTTAGTAATGTCTAGTTCAGATTGAATCACATGCTTATGATACTCAATCTCACTTAAATACGTTATTACTAAATTAGTTTTTTTTAGTAATGTCAAATTCAGATTGAACCACATGCTTATAATACTCAATCTCACTTAAATACGTTATTACTAAATTAGTTTTTTTTTAAAAAAATATTTTAAGATAATGAGATATTTTCAATCTAACTTTTTGATTAATTAAAATTAAATCTATGAGCCACATAACTTAAACTTATTGTCAAAGACAAGAGGAAAACTACAAAGCATGTCGGTGCAATACGTTTAAGCAAATAAAAAAATAAAAATTCTGCCATTGAACGTCAACAGATAGGCAGTGAATTGATTGGAAACAATTGGAGAAACTACACTATGGCTATGTGGCAACAAAATTTCACTCAAACATCTTGCAGTCAATCAAGATTCAGATAGAAGTCTGGAAGTATTTGATGATTTCCCCATTTTTCTTAATTATTATTATTTTTTTTTACGAATTCTAGCTTGTATAGTCTTCTAGAGTTTTTTTTTTCCCCTTGCATGCTAATACAAGCGAGTTATTTTAGAAAATAAAATATAATTTAAAAAAAAAATCGCAAAGATATTGGCATGAAATTTTCTAAAATCTATTTTAGAAAATGGCTTTTAAGTTCTAACGGAGTCGTAAGATGTTATTAACCTTTTATTTTTGTTTGGGAAAAAGGAGCGCAAAATGGGGACAATATAAATCATATGACTAACGCCGTGAGTTAAACAGAAATCACATGTATCAAACGGCTCATATTCTTTAGCACACAGGAACTCTGCCTCTTGATCTTCACCTCTGTCTTTAAAAATACTCGCTTTCCTCTTCACTTCGCTCTACTCCACTCCAGGTAGGTCTAAAACCTGAAAACACAGTCAAACGGCTCATCATGGCAACCGTGGTTACAACTCTCACTTCTTTCTCCACAAAATGCCCAAAACTCTCCCTTTTCGACTCTTCCTCTTCTTCCCACGGCACTCCCTTGTCAAAACCCACAGTTCGCGTACAACCCACAAAATCATCGTCATCGGCATCGTCAAACGTTTCTATCTGCATGTCGTCTCCACCGTATGATTTGAATATTTTCAAGTTTGAACCTATTAAAGAGTCCATAGTGTCAAGAGAAATGACAAGAAGGTACATGATGGACATGATAACTCATGCAGATACTGATGTTGTGATCGTTGGTGCTGGCGCATCTGGATTATCTTGCGCTTATGAGCTTAGCAAGAACCCTTCTGTCAAAATTGCCATTGTTGAACAATCTGTTAGCCCTGGTGGTGGTGCTTGGCTTGGCGGTCAGCTCTTTTCTGCCATGGTAATCAAAATTCTTCCATTTTCCTTTTTCTCTTTTGTTTTTTTCCCCACTTTTCATGCATGCAATGTTAATTATTAGTTGTATATGTTAAACAAAATGATCATACTATGTTGCTTGCTTAGTTTTCCATAAGGAGATTTGTTTCGTTCGTTTTTGTCTTGTTTTATTGGGATTTATTTTATTTTCGTTTTTTGGCATAATTAAAAACTAGTTTTTTTCTTGATGGTATTCTATGAGTTGAATAAAATATCTACGAGTTGAATAAAATATATAACATCGTTTAGAAAAATAATTTCAGTTTAATAGTCTGTTTTATTGTTTGAATCTATAAAAATATATGAAATCAAAAGTGAAAAAAATCATTTATAATTTTTTAATAAAAAATTTTGTATTTAAGTATTTCTTATTTGTGTTTTTCATAATTTTTTCTTTATAAAAAAGATTTATTCTTGTTAATCTATGGATTATTAACTAAAAAAATTAAATAATTTTTTTAATAAAACTTTAGTATCTCATAAGATTGTGTTGAAAAACAAAAATAACAATCATTGAGTGGTTAAACCAAAAGATAATTTTAATTATTTAATTTAAAATAAGTTAATTTTAAAATATTCAAAAATAAATTAATTAATAGTAAATGCTTAGTCTAGTAGTAGTTGCATAGTTAATTTCTAAAAAAAATAGTAAAAGCTTACATAGAATTGAAAAAATATTTTTTTTTATTTTTATTTAATGTTGATGAGAATATCGATTTTTGAAAAAAAAATGTGAATTTAATTTTTATATATTTATTTACAAAAGAATGAATAATATTAACATAAAAACTATATTAATTTGAATCATTGAGTGGTTAAACCAAAACATAATTTTAATTATTTAATTTAAAATAAGTTAATTTTAAAATATTCAAAAATAAATAAATCAATAGTAAATGCTTAGTCTAGTAGTAGTTGCACAGTTAATTTCTAAAAAAACAATAGTAAAAGCTTACATAGAATTGAAAAAATATTTTTTTTATTTTTATTTAATGTTGATGAGAATATCGATTTTTGAAAAAAATGTGAATTTAATTTTTATATATTTATTTACAAAAAAATGAATAATATTAACATAAAAACTATATTAATTTGAATCATTGAGTGGTTAAACCAAAACATAATTTTAATTATTTAATTTAAAATAAGTTAATTTTAAAATATTCAAAAATAAATAAATCAATAGTAAATGCTTAGTCTAGTAGTAGTTGTACGAGTTAATTTCTAAAAAAACAATGATTCAATTTTTTTTACACATCATAACTTATACTAAATGAGTTTAGAGTTTTCGAGTTTAAAATAAAAAATACTATAAAAAAAAGAGAGTTAATTTGCAAGGAATCTATTAATTAAATTTGAAGTTAATAGACTAAAATAAAAATTATTAAAAATTTGATTTCGATTAATTTTGATTATATAAAGAAGAAACAAATTAATAAAACATGTGAATTCTTTTTTTTTTTTTCGTCATTCTTAAATAATTTTTTATTTCTATGTTATGCATGACTAGTCCTTGAATACAGGCCTCATGCATAGAGTAGCCATCTTCTTTTTATTTTTCACATTTGAATTTAGCTATTAATTAATTAATTTGAGTTTTTTTCTTTAAAAAAATCACAAAAATTTATTTGAAATACACTTTTAATCTAAAAATATATTTTAGAAAAATTATATATATTAATCATGTCACTATAATTTAAAAAGTATCTAAATATATTTTTCAAAAGAAAAAATAATCATGTTATAAAAATTTATTCCAAAATCCAGACATATAGAAAAGTAAATCAAAATTATCAGTAAATATAATTTTAAATTAATTAAATGAGAATTTTTTTTAAAAAAAATGAAAAATTAAAGTAGTAAATTTTAAACAATAAAAATAATTAAAAAAACACTAAAACAAAATGGAACTAAATCATAATACAATTAAATTTTGAAATTGAAAAAAAAAGTATAGAAAAATTGAGGACTAAAAATGTATTTCAGACAAATTATATATATTAATCATGCTACTATAATTGAAAAATTATCTAAATATATTTTTCAAAAGAAAAAATAATCATTTAAAATTTATTCCAAAATCCATACATATAGAAAATAAATCAAAAGCTGTAAGTAAATATAATTTTAAATCAATTGGATGAGAATTTTTAAAAAATAACAAATTAAAGTAGTAAATTTTAAACAATAAAAATAATTAACAAAAAACACTAAAAAAAATGAGACCAAATCAAAATACAATTAAAGTTTGAAATTAAAAAAAAAATGTATAGAAAAATTGAGGACCATATAATTTTAAATTAATTGGATGAGAATTTTTTTTTAAAAAAAGAGACAAATTAGAGTAGTAAATTTTAAATAATAAAATAACTAACAAAAAATACGAAAACAAAATGAAGCCAAATCACAATATAATTAAAGTTTGAAATTGAAAACAATAAGAGAATTTAAAAAAAAAGAAGATAAATTAAAATAGTAAATTTTAAATAATAAAAATAATTAACAAAAAACACTAAAACAAAATGAGATTAAATCACATTACAATTAAATTTTGAAATTAAAAAAAAATAGAAAAATTGAGGAACAAAGTGTTACAAAATTTTTATAAATAATGAAAGAAATAATGATCTGTAAGTGTATGAATAATATTATGAATAGTAAAAAATTATTTTGTTTTAGTGTTTTTTATAATTGATGATAAAGGATTGATAAAATAACATCTCCTCTCCCACAATAAAAAAAAGTACACTTTTTTAAAACGTTGATGAGAAATCAGTGATTTAAACCTTCTTCTTTTGGACCTTTCGTATTCCTCAAACCTAGGGATGGCGATGGTCGGATACGGCACATTAATTTAATTTTTTATCTTATTTATCAAAAAAATAATTTATTTATTATTTATTAAAAAATTACTATATAAATTTTTATCAACTCTATACTTAATTCATACTAGTTTATCTATCCATTTAATATATATTAAATACATGTTAAATTTAATTTATCAAAACTATTTATTTTAGTCTTTATATTTTTTAAGAATTTTTTTTTATCTTTAATATTTATTTTTTTTTGCATTTTGATAATTTATTCATAAGTTTTTTTATCTTCAAATTTTTTGAAAAAAAATATTTCGATCCGTAATGTTTAAATTTTATGCAATTAGATCCCTTCATGCTAATAAAAAAATCTAAATAAATTAGTGGGTATTAATAGTATAAAAAATAGATACTCATATCTTCAAATCATATTTGCAAGTATATATTTTTTATTCTTATCCACTTCAATACCCATTAGATATTTTTAATAGATATTTATTGGGTCGAACTCGTTTTATACTCGACACATTGCCATCCATACTAAGACCCAAAAAAAAAAAAAAAAGTTAAAGTATTACTACTTATTTGTTATACATAATATAAATTCCAGTCCTTGATTAGATCATTTGTTACATAAAATACTGAAAATTAAGGATCTAGCCATGTTAAAGATATTTTGAAGGCATATTCTTTAAGTGGTTTTTTTTTTTAAAAAAAAAAACAAAAAAAATTTGGCTCCAACTGGAGCTCGTTTTCTAGCTAGTGTGCAATTGTGGTCTTGTGATCATTTCTTCATAATTTAAGTAGAAAATTAAGATATTTTCCATGCTTCATAATTTTCATTTAATTTTCTCCCGGAGGAGCTGGATAGTATAAGGTTCTTCATTTTCTAGACATACCTGTAACTATATATATATATATATTTGAAATTGATTGTGCATTTATGTCTTGATCAGGTTGTTCGCAAACCAGCTCATCTCTTTCTTGATGAGCTAAGCATCGAGTATGATCAGCAAGAAGACTATGTAGTAATCAAGCATGCAGCTCTCTTCACCTCCACAATCATGAGCAAAGTCCTTGCCCGTCCAAATGTTAAGCTTTTTAATGCAGTGGCTGCAGAGGACTTGATAGTTAAGGAAGGAAGAGTAGCTGGAGTGGTCACCAATTGGGCTCTTGTGTCAATGAATCACGACACACAATCTTGTATGGATCCAAATGTGATGGAGGCCAAGGTGGTTGTGAGTTCTTGTGGACATGACGGACCATTCGGTGCTAGTGGGGTTAAGAGGCTAAAGAATATTGGCATGATTGATAATGTGCCAGGAATGAAGGCCCTTGACATGAATGTTGCTGAAGATGCCACTGTGAGGCTTACTAGGGAAATTGTGCCTGGAATGATTGTCACTGGCATGGAAGTTGCTGAGATTGATGGCTCTCCAAGAATGGTAACTTTTAGTTTCCCTTTACTTCAAAAGTTGTTGGGATTTTTGTGCCTCTAATTGATATTGCTCTCATTTTCTCTTTAACTTATGGGCTACACATTCAAAATCTGCAACTAAAATTGTGAATTCTGGTGACTTACACTATTGTAGGTTGTGCAGTTGTATCTGTAAAACTATTTTTACACTCTCTTGACTACCGTAGTAATTAGGATTTCTTTGTTTTACAATAGAATTAATGCTTTTTTTGTGGAATCTAACTATCATTGGAGAGTGTATTATCCACATTTCCTGATCTTTAATGAGCTCTATGTTCATGAAATGCATGTAGCCTACGATTATTTACATCCATTAGAGGATAGATAGATTGGGCCTGTCATAATGGCCCCCCTGAATGATAGATGATGTGTACAGAAATATCATATCTTGAGGGACCACTATGTCTTATTCCTGATATGATTTCAGGGACCATGAAATGCTAAAGTGAATAGGGTTATGGCTTCTTGATGTTTTATCTAGAGCATTTGACAAAATATCAATTATGTTTTGAGCTGCTTGTGATGAGAACTTGGTGCCCAAAATTTAATCTCATTTTTTAATGGAAATTGATGCATTTGTGCGTGTTCAGGGACCAACATTTGGGGCAATGATGATATCAGGGCAGAAGGCAGCTCACCTTGCCTTGAAGTCACTAGGGTTGCCCAATGCGCTGGATGGAACGTTTGTGGGAGGCGTTCATCCAGAGCTGATCCTGGCTGCTGCAGAATCTGCTGATATTGCAGAGGCTTGAGTGGTAGTTGAAAGAATTTAGTTCTTGCTGCCTTCGGTACCTGATTGGCTATCTGTTAATTCTCTGTGCTGCATTTCAAAATTACAGGGTTTTGTTGCTTGTAGTTAACTAATGTTATAATGCAAGACTCATTTTACCATAACATGCATTTCTAGTAAAATTCCGAGAGCCATATCCTGCTTTCTGGTAAACTTCTTAAATGTCATCAATGAACCACTGAACCACAAAAATCTTTCTCAAGAACTACTCTCGAGTGATATCATTGAAAAATAAAGACTTCAGATTGCCAGATTATAATTTCCTCCGATTGTAAAGATAACAGGAAGGAGCAGCTATACAAGGGACGAAAGAAAGCCCATTAAATGAATCTAGGGACTGAACTAGACCAGCTTGATATATGGGTTAGCCCACCAAAAACAGTGGCTTCACCATAATCCTTAGGTTTTTCGAAAGCCAAAAAAAAAAAATAATAATAATAATAATAATGGAAACTAGCGAATCAGGTATTTGAAGATCATAGGAGTTGAGATTTTAATCTCCATTAACACATAAAATAAAATAATTAGAAGATATCTTTTTCTATTAAACATAAAAAAATATATTAATCACAGTTCGCGATTTGTCCACACATCATGATATCGTCCTCTTTCAATAAATTTATGCAATGCCGTATGATATTCTTTCACATCTTGCGAGTGAGAATTGCATGATTAGCCACACTTACCTTACCAATTTTATTCTCCTACGGTTTGTCTTTGTACCAAAAGAAAAACATGTACAATATTTCAAACCATTTTTTTTTTTAATAGAAAATCTCGTTTGCTCATTTTCTGCTGAAGTGAAACATATCATTATTGCTGGTGGACGTTGATATTGTTTTTTTTTTTTTTTGAGAGTATTCTCAGGCCAATAATATAATTTTAATAACGCATCTCTCATATCGGTATATTGTGTTCATAAAATTTTAATAATTTTTTTAAAAAATAATTCTAAGTTTTGAAATAAAAAGGTTTGGAAATAAAACAAATCTCTTTCACCACTAAATCAATCATTTGAAGTTGATAACATTGATAATATAAAACTCGAACATATAAAAAAAAAAAAAATCTTATAAATACATTAACATGTAAATAGCATTTAAGGATTAGATTGAAAAGAGATTTAGTTTTAATACAAGAAAGTGGACAAAAGTAAAAAATACTGGGTACTTAAAAAAAATTATGAAATGTTAGGATATATTGAAATTAACTTTCATACTTCAAGATTAAATTCATTTCTGTAATCCAATCAAAGATAAATCATCCATATACCACTTGGAGATTCAAGAAATTCTACTCCTTTCGACAATGGGGCAAACTTCCTGAAATTATTAGAAGGTTATCGCTGAAATCATTTTCAATAGTGCTATCAAAAAAGTTAGAAGTACCAATTGAACTGTATTGATTTGGTTTAGTTTCCGTAATCCATCTCCATACTATGATTTTAGTTTTTTTGTACAGTGTCTTTTACTTATTTTTTTTTAGTTTAATATATCTTCTGGTTAAAGAAATACTAAATCGTAATTATTTTTTTCTAAATACCTTCATCTTATATTAAAAATATAACTAATCATGTTTAAAATGAGAATTGTAAAGTTTAAATTTCTTAATAAACATAATTTTAAAATTTAAATTTTATATATTAATAAAAAATTCATATGTAGACTAGTTTGTTTAACATTACAATAACAATTCCTTGTTAATTATGATTAATTTAGAAGACAATTAATATATGTGAAATGATAATCGACAAACTAAACTAAACTAAACCAAATGGGGACAATGGAGACACAGTTTAATGATTTAATTCATCATCAAAGGTTTCAAAGATTTGAAGTATGTGTTTCAAAGGAAGGCCCTACCCCTGTCCACTTTGCACTAAAAAACTTGTCGTCTCATAGAAATGATCTCACAACCAGATTGGTACTAAAATGTTCCTACTTCAAATGCGGGGCCAACGATGCCTTTCAAGAAACAAATGGCACAAAGCTTTCTTGCGTCTTAAAAGAGGCAATATCTCTTTCACTCTTGGTTACATCTGTGTTTGAGTTGGTAGCCATAGTTTTAAATATTCATTTTTAAAATTATAGTAAGCTGTGATTCATTATGAATATTTTTTTAATCGTTCATAATTTAAAATTATATTTAAAATTATAATTTTTGTAGTTCTAATCATGGTTATATTGATATTTATTTTTATATCACATAACAAGAGTTTAAAATCCAAATATTTATTTTATAGTTCCTTCTTGCAATAATTTTTTAGATTTTTATCAAATATATATTTTATTTATTTTTAAAGAAAAAAATTAAAAAAGCCAAAAACCAACGTATCTCACTTTTGTTAGTTAAAGAGGCATCAATTTCAAATTTGCTTATAAGTAAATTATTGGATGCTTGATTTAAAACACAAAGTATTAATTTAGCACTCAATCCCACTTAAACATCGGTGTTACTAAATTATTTTTTTCAAAAATATTTTTAAACGAATCTTATTTTAGTTAAAACTCAATTCATCATTTTATAAATTAAATTAGCATATCGACAAGGACCGGAAGAAAACAACAAAACAAATCGGTGCCACACCTTTACACAATAATAATAAAATAAAAAATAAAAAATCTGCCCGTTGAATGTGACCGGATTGGGAGTGAATTGCGGCGATTATTATGCTTAAAGAGTGTTCCGACGTAACAAAGAGGTAGATAAATTTTATTATAATGGATGAGTAATTAGTGATATGTATAATAGTTATTTTATGAGCTCATTTTAAGAAAAAAGATAAACATATAAAAAGAAATTTTATAATACTCAATAAGTAATTACTGTAATATACAGTAATTACTCTATAGACCTATTTTCAAGAGAAAAATAGACACATCAAAAAGAGAGAATTACGTATGAACCTATAAAATAATGATAAAAAGATTTTTATATTGGCTTAATTTTATTTTTTAATTATCTCTTTTCTGTTTCTCATTTCTTACTTCTTTTTACGTGTTTATCTCTTTTTTTCAATATAGATTTATAAAATAATTAATGTAAATAACTAATTACACGTTAAGTATTATAAATATTCTCTATAAAATTTCTCCATGGAGATGAACGCGAGCATAGAACCAAAAACACATACCTCATCATGGCCTCTTCTTCTACTCATCAACCTCTGCTAGACACTGCCAGCAACACTAAATCCAATGCCAAGATCCTTATCTTTGTCCTTTCTCTATTGGCAATCATATTCTCGACTGTTTTTCTCGCACCCCACTTAATCGGGGTTGGCCAATCTAGTCCATCAACTCCTACACACATATGTAACCAAGCCTATGATCCCCAACATTGTTCATCAACAATATCTGAAGCCGTCTCCAACTATGGAGTTGAAGAATCTGATGCAATTGGTCTCCTAAAAACTTTCTTGGTAAAATCTGTACCTCAAATGAGAATGGCAAAGGCAGTTGGCAGTGCTGTAAATGGCAAGATCAATGACCATAAACATCAAGCAGCTGTAGCTGATTGTGTGGAGCTTATGGACATGTCCATTGACCGTGTTACTGATACATTATCAGCTCTATCCAACTGGGACAGCCAGTCTGATGCTAACGATGCACATACTTGGCTTAGTGGTGTACTCACTAACCATGTTACATGCTTGGATGGTATTGACACGATAGGTCAACCATCTATGGAAAAACTGATCCAGGGTTTGATTTCAAGAATGAGAACTTCTCTAGCAGTTGTTGCCACTCTTTCAGCTTCTGATGCTGATGGTGTTCAGCCATCGAACTGGGGGTTTCCTTCATGGATCTTGGGCAGGGACCGGAAGCTACTGGAAAGTTCAGTAAGCGATGTTGAGGCCAACGTGGTAGTGGCACAAGATGGAAGTGGGGACTATACCACAATTCAAGAAGCTGTGAACTCAGCCCCAGATAAAAGTAAAAGCCGGTTTGTGATATATGTGAAAAGTGGGACTTACAAGGAGAATGTGGAAGTTGGGAAGAAGAAGAAAAATGTTATGATTGTTGGCGATGGTATGGATTTCACCATCATAACTGGTAGCCTCAATGTTATGGATGGATCTACGACCTTCAGATCTGCCACACTTGGTAAAAATCCCCTACTTTCCTACTATAAACTCTCTGTTTTTTTTTTTTTTTTTTTTTTTTTTTTTTTTTTAATATGCTTTCTGCAGTGAAAATGTTGATAATAGCTGCATTTTTTTCGTATAAGCTAGACATTATTTGAAAATTTGTCCCGCATTTCAGCTGTTGCAGGTGATGGATTCATATTGCAGGATGTTTGGATCCAAAACACAGCAGGACCAGAAAAGCACCAAGCTGTGGCTCTCCGTGTTAGTGCTGATCAATCTGTTATTAACCGTTGCCGCGTTGATGCATACCAGGACAGCCTCTATACACATAATTACAGACAGTTCTACAGAGATTGCTTCATAACTGGAACCATCGATTTCATCTTTGGTAATGGAGCTGTTGTGCTCCAGAACTGCCAAATCATTGCTCGAAAGCCTATGGCAGGCCAAAAAAACATGGTCACTGCACAAGGTAGGATAGACCCAAATCAGAATACTGGGATCTCAATCCAGAACTGTGACATTATTGCAAGCCCTGATCTTGAATCAGAGCAGAAAAATTTCCCTACGTATCTTGGAAGGCCATGGAAAGAGTACTCAAGGACTGTGGTTATGCAATCTTATATTGGTGGACATATCGATCCTGCTGGTTGGGCAGAATGGAATAAGGATTTTGCATTAAAAACATTGTATTATGGTGAGTATGAAAATACAGGGCCAGGTGCAGGTGTTGGCAAGAGAGTGGATTGGCCTGGATATCATGTCATTACAGATCCAAATGAGGCCAAGCAATTTACTGTGGCAGAGATGATACAAGGAGGAGCCTGGCTAGGATCCACTGGAGTTTCTTTTACTGAAGGACTGTAAGTTAGGAAAAGCATGCATCCCCTTCATGGATTTCCTTCGGAATGATTGATGTAGCATGTTTTGTTATGTCATGCCCAGCATTCTGACATAATAATTTGGGATGCAGATGTAATACTAGCTTCTTAGATTAATAGCATTTCTGTCGTCTGCTGCACTATTTTGTTCAGTTTTGTATTGGCCTTTTCAAGTAAGTCTCTCCCAGCTCAACCAACTAAATCCCAATCTAATAAGTGGTAATCACATGAATATCAGTTTCTTCTGTCCAGTTCTGTTCTGGGGTAAATCTTCTCCAAACTTTTAAAATAAAGAACTTGCATGATCATTTTCGGGAAAATCAGTAACACTTTCTGACCAGACAATAAAGACTTTGTAGATAATACTTTGTAGGCATGATTGATTCCAGAAACTATTTATGAACTTAGAATAGATCCAAGTTCCAGAAAAAAGAAAAGGAAAAAACAAGAAATCATCACCTGTAAATGTTGTCGAATTAAGATGAATGCAGTCAAGTTAGCCTTTGTTCATTTACCAAAACAAATTTAATCTATTAACTTTGGTCTCTGACATAAGTGCACTTACCAAAATCTCATAATAATTTTTTTTTTCCCCTTAACTATGAGGTGCTACTACGCATGGTCTTGAGGCTACGATGGAACAATCGGAGAAAACTACACTATGGCTATGTGGCAAACAAAATTTCACTCAAACATCTTGCAATCAATCAAGATTCAAATATGAAGTTCAGTTGCTTAGGACATCATTTGCTTATGCTTCAACCTTTCCATGTATAAAAGTTGAATAAACAAAATGGTGGATCAACTATTCCACGCTCAAACCCTCTGGAGTCAGTATCTGAAAGCTAATTCTGGCTTGCTCCTAAAAGTTTTACCTCAAGCAGCTCCTTCAACAGGTTTTTGAAACTATCATCACTGTTGCCTCTATAAGGAATGATTTGCAATTCTGAGTAGAGTGCCATAACTTTATAAGGACTCAGATGCTTGAGAATCTCAGGGTCTCGATCATAATCCTGGTAATTCAAAATAAGAATAATAAATACACGCACTGCATGTCCTGTTAAAGCTCCTATTTAAACAATTCACACCTTCAATGGCCCAGGATTTTGCAGCCAATTCAATTTTTAATATGGTCTAAAATTTGCACAAGCATTCTCATCAGGAAAGAAAACTAGGAATGCTCATATCCATATAAAGGGAAGGTATCTTCCCAGTGAATGTAAATAAACTGCAAAATTACACATACCATGAATCAGACATGGATGTAAATTGAAACCAAGTAGCATATGCCCCTTTAGCGGTCCTACTCACCTTCTCTGTTATGACAACAACTGGCATGGAACCAAACCTATCTTCCAGCTCTTTGAGTTTCATTCTGATCATCTCAATATCCTAAATTAATTGACAACAAGAAAATAAGATTGACATATCGAATTGACACCACAATCAACATCAGGTGGGTGGGGATGAAATATTATGTTAGTCTTACACTGTATGTCACATGCTATTTTATTTTTAATTCAATCGATCTATTTTTTACCCTTCTTTTTTAACAATTAATTAGCAGTTTGGGATGAATTGTACTGATAACATCGATACTGGTAGTAAAGGCAATCTAAATCATGATACATTCCACACATGAATTTGCCTTCTACAAAAGTTTAATTGTGCAATGCAACCAAAGAGTCTCAAAAATAAAAAGCAGATTCAGGGGATTAAGCGATGGTCACTGAGGTTAAGTTTAAGATTAAATTTGAACTTAAAAGAACAGTCATAAGCATTTTTGAGTTATAAAAATTGAAATGTGTATATAATCCAGTATAAAATTAAGACAAAAGAGTATGGGAATTGTACCCTGTCTTGGAGGGGGTGATGGTCGCTGAAATCAAGTCGATCAACATATAACGTTCCCATCTGCCAAGGAAACACCACTTATTTGTAGATAAAAACACATAACAACATGGGGGAACAAGGAGTCTCCCAGTATTTTTTATTGAACTTCATTAACATGTGTGAAGATTCTCTAGATTAAGGAATTAAGAAAATAATATTCAATATCGAATGGGTAAAGGGGACAAAATACCTTCTTCATCCCCTGCACAAAAGCATTTGCTGAACCAATTGCAGAAACACATAGCACAATGCCATTGCATATGATATCCAATGGTATTCTGGAGTTGATATTTCCTACTTCAAAGAAGTGTGAGGGAGACATTCCAGTGAAAAAAATAGGAAGAGATTTTTTTACTTCTCGCATCATTAATTTGATGTCTCTGAGATTGTGTTCCGAAACCTGTGCAAAACTTTTAGTTCAACATATTTAAATCAATTTCCTGCTCATAAATGAAAATACACATATATTGAAAAAGAAGATGGGTGATAAAAGAACTATGTGTTGTAGAGCATCACGAACTGCAGAATTTTAAATGAAACATAAAAATTCAAGAAATGCCTACAAACTGGGAAAAAATCAATGTTAGGTACCAAGTTTGCATGATGAACTACAGCAACATCTGCTCTTCCAAGGGCTTTCAAAGGTTCCCTTAAAGGTCCAAGTGGAAGTATTTGATGATTTCCCCATGGTGTTAGTCCATTAACCATTACAATCTCTAGGTCACGCTGCAGGCTCCAGTGCTATCTTCCACGTAAATAAACACTATTATCACCAACATATCCATAAGAAAAGTATTTTCTTTCTTCATGATTAAAAGGCAATTAAACATCAATTGACTGAATATTAAATGACTTCGGCTCACAATATAAGGATCACACTATCTGTGGGTCAGCTTGTCAAGACAATAGAGTAAAGACAGAAGGCACATGGGCAGGTACTTCCTTTAGATAGTTAAAGAGCAATACATGGGTGGAAAAACCAAAGCACGAGTTCAACATAAGCAAGCACAACCTAATTGCACACAGCGATTATATAATACGTCACATGAACACAAGTGACTGAATGTAAGCATGAAGAAGCAAGCAAACACAGAGAAAGAGCAAAGGCAGCATCCCAAGAATAAGAGGAAAAACATAAAGGAAACCACAATACCTGCATTCCATCATCCAAAATCACAATACCAACTTTTCTTGAGTCAATCCGACTTCCCTCCTTCTCTTCATGCCATTTGCTCTCAACTAAATAATCACAAGGATCTACATAACCATGTCGCTTAAAAAAAAAGCTGCAGTAGCAGCTCGATTTGCACCCACACCAATCTTTACTGCTTTCCGACAAAGATGCCTAGTAAGCATCCTAGCTTCATCTCCGCCAGCATAACCCTGGCAAGAAGAGAAGCAAACATAAATCTCTCAATTATGTCAATGGCTCCATATCACTAAACAAACACTAAGCACATCCATACTTATCACAACTCCTCAATTGAGTTCGTGCATGTCAATGCGTGAACGAACCCACATGCACAAACTAGATTGCATAGTCGAGCTAGCGATTATCACATCATTAACCAGTTGGAAATGCAATCATTCACTAGATACTCAAAGAAACCAGAAAGGGAGAGCAAAGGTGCAGTACCCTGCTAAGAATGAGAGGTGAAATTCCAGAATCAGCTAACCATGAAGCAATGAACTCAACCATCGGAGTCTTCCCATTTCCTCCCCATGTTAAATTGCCAACACTTATCACTGGCACTGGTAACCTTAAAAAATACACAAATTACAGAGAAACTAATAAAAAACTATACTTCCTAGCCAAAGTCATGTTCTTGTGAGCCACACACAATAGCAAAGGGAAGATTAAAGTTAAAAAAGATCGAAACTTTTCAAGAAACCACAAAAACCCACATGGCACAACACTTTATTCATAAAAAAGATTAAAAAAACCATTCATTTTCTATTCTTTTCTTGCATTTTCTCAGAGACCAAACAACAGGTGGGGTCACGAATACCTGTGCTTAGAGAACAAGCCAAAGTGGTAGAGATAGTGGCGGATAGAGAGAACAACTTTGTAAAGAGAGGAAGCTAATGAGAGTATAGGAATTAAAGATTGGTGCAGTTTAGAGAGCTTTGTGTGGTCTTGCGCGTAGGCTATCTCCTTCACTAGTCTCCTCAGTTTCTCCATTGAAGAAGCAGCCTTGAAAGAGAAAGGAGCAAAAATTGGAACCGGGTCGAAACAATGATGCTCGAAAGGGACGACACGTCATCGATACTAAAAAAACAAAATACATGTCGTTCATTTACTTCGAGTAAAGTCGACACGCCGTCTGAACAGTAACAGTACTTTTTTATGTCTCTTTGCTCCGTGTCTCTACAAATTTTCGCGTTAGAATTAAAATTTTGAAAAGGTATGTTTGGTTGGTGAGAAAATTCGAAACTTAAGAAAACTCTGAATCCTGACAGGGTGATTGCAAAAAAGAATTGAAAAAAAAATGGAGGAATTCTTTGTTTTGATTCTGTCAATGCTTCTTGTCGTCGCTTTGATTCCGTTTTATCTATGGAAACGCCGTCAAGATTCACGATCACAAGACGAACAGCAGCAACAAGAACGACAGGTTAGTCGGTCAGATTTTACAATTCTTTGGAATTTTAATTGAAAATTTTGAAGGCTTAGAAATATCTAGGTATTTAATGTTTAAAGAAAGAAAAAAGAATTGAGTAATGAATTTTTTTTCTTTTTCAGGTTCCGAGAGGAGAGACAGTGGTGCGTGCAACTGGTACGCGTAGAATGCGTAGAAGACCAGCAGCTGGAGCGAGTTCATCAAGAAACGTTGCAGCAACTGTTGAAGGTTTAGTGTTTTAATTATCTATTTGTTTTCGTGATTCTGCATTTCTGGTGGAATGTAAAGTTGTTGGTGTGCGGGCGACCGGGCGGGCGGGTGTGTGCATTTTAATTGGTTTAGATTGGCATGTCCTGTGTGTTTTTAGTTACAATGAGACGTAAAAAAAGTAGGATGTGCTGATGTTTATCGAGTAGTATTTTTTTTTCTTGTTCATTGATTGGCTGTGGGGTTTTGAAATTTGTTTTGGTGTTGAATATCTGGAATTGTGGAGTGCAGATGCTGGTGATGAAAGTGATGGTGAAGGTGTTGATGGTGCGTATTCTGAGGCTAAAGCATCGAAAAAGGAGAAGAAACGGCAGGAGAGGGAAGCGCAAAGACAGGTGCAGTATACTTTCCTTTAGATTTTTGAAGAAAAAGTCAAGAGAATTTCCTTCTCTGAATATTGTGAAGTTGTCATTAAGATGTCGAACCTACAGTAGCTTTAAGAGCCAGTGAGGCTTAGAGGAAAGTGTGACAAGGAAACTGAAAGTGATTTTTTGTAGTTGTTGCATATTTTGTTGGTCCTGGTTTTCTTGTTTCTTTTTTCCCCTTTGTATCGGAGTGTCAGTATTTGGCTTGACATAGCTGCTTATTGTTTTGAAGGCTGAGGAAGCAGCACGTGAATCAAGGCTGACCAAACAAGACCGTTATGCAGACATGCGGAGGAAGAAGGATGAAGAACGTGAGGCAAAAGAGCGTATGCTTGTGGGTTGCTTACCTTTCTTTTTTGTAGTATTTAGGGATATCAATTGTTGGATTCCTAATTGAAGAAATTTGTCATGATTCATATAGGAAGAAGAAGCCAAGGCTCGACAGGTCAAGGAGGAGGAAGCTGCTGCATTGGAGTTTGATAAATGGAAAGGAGAGTTTTCAGTGGATGCTGAAGGATCAACAGGAAATGATTTGCAAGACGGAAGTCAAGATTTGTTGTCTGATTTTGTGGAATATATAAAGGTACTGTTAGTCCTGCACTTATTGAACTCTCTCTTTTAGTTATGTATTCTTTAATTCATGATAAATATGTGAGTTTTTCTTGCTGTTAAGTTGTCAACACCCTGAGAAACTGTCATTTTTAGTTGTTAATTTCTCCTTTAATGCGAGCAAATTACTTTCTCCATCAAATGTGAAGTACTAGTAGTTCAGGAAAATTTTAAAATTATCTTACTTTTATCTGCTACCATGTAATGTGATCTGCTGTTAGTCAAAAAGAAACTTCATTGGTGATGATAAGGTTGCTTTGTTTTCTTTATTCTGATCTTGCAGAAACATAAATGTCTTCCTTTAGAAGATCTTGCTGCAGAATTTAAGCTGCGGACTCAGGTACTCTTTCTAAACCACTCACCTTTGTTCCCATTTCATCCCTCTGGATATAGTAGTATATAAGGATCTTAATTTGACAGTAACAATGCATATACTAAATTATGGTAGCCCTTGAACAATGTTAGAACTGAGGTTACATTGTTCACAATAATCGTCATCCACTGGTGGTTGCATGTATCATAGACGTCTGGCTGTCCAAGTAATTAGGAGCTAAATCATGTAAATATTATATCATTGCCTTTCCTTATGCTAAAATATGGATGCCTAATTTTTCCTTTCACCTTTGGTTTATGCAGGAATGTATCAACCGGATCACCTCTCTGGAAAGTATGGGTATGTGTTCTTGCATCTCTTTTATTCATTGCATGTATGTTGTAAGCAATCTTTTGTGCCCTGTCCAACCTTTCACAGTTTAATTTGCTCTAGTTTCTTCTGTGCTATTCTACTTTCCTTCCACTTTGGGTCCTGTAAGTTTATTATCAAATTTTCTAACTAAACCTTCTAACGATCCTGTCTTTAAGTATAAATTCCTTTATCAAATTTGTCCTTTTTCTATGTCTAGTTTTTTCCACTCTCATTATATTCTCTAATGTAAGGTCGCTTCCCAGATTTTGCTTTTATACTATAGAATCTTCTCCTTAGGTTGATTGTGGCATGTTGATCTCATATATTTTAACATTCCACCATCTAGCTGTAACTTTATCATGAAAAACAACTCCTAAATCTTTTAATCCAACGAAAACTGTGGTATAGTCTAGTTGGTGTTTCTTTAAAAGAAAAGGAAATGAAAGAAAAGAAATGGTTAGTTACTTATTATCATTGAAATGCTAGTGCGTTCTGTTGTGCTTTAGTTTGCAGCAAAATATGAAATTGATATGCCTAGTTATTCTTTGATGCAAAGTAAAAATATATTTATTTTTTCAGTGTATAGTTTATGATGCAGAATTGGGTTTGTCTAAGGTGGTTCAGTACCCTTGCTTAGAAACTTAATGTTAGATTTATTTTTCCATATTAGGGCGACTTTCTGGTGTCATGGATGATAGAGGAAAATACATATACATCTCGCAAGAAGAGATGAAAGCTGTTGCTGACTATATTAAGCGCCACGGGAGGGTTAGCATCTCGCATCTGGCAAGCAAGTCCAACCAGTTCATTGATTTGGAGCCAAAAGCACAGTTTGTTGAGGAAATCAGCAATGCGGAGGAACTTGCCGTTGCTTGACTTGGTGTAGGTTACTGACTTAGCATCATATATGTAAAGGACAATTACACATGGTGCGCCATCAGCAGATAAGATAAATTGTATTTTAATTTTGTTTAGATGTATAAACGAGAAGAAAATGATATGAAGCAGTCTATGCGTAGGCAGAGAAATGCTGTAATTTTACATGGAAAGATGTATAAGGGTTTCTGAGCTTAATTTGTTTAGATCTTCCAAATTCTGTTCATTATGGTTACAAATTTGTTAGAGAACCAGCTATCAGAAATTGTTGTGAAAGAAAGTATTGCTGCAGCTGTGTTCTTTATTTTTAGTCACTTTCCTTTTCTCCGATGGTAAATTGTTTTGGTTCTGCAGAAACAGAATCTCCTAATGTCGCAACTCGAATTTCTTGGATGACAAGAATTGCTCACTTTTAATTCTTTGGAAGGCGTTACACTTTTAATTCTCTAATGTTACCGTTTTATAATCGGAGAAACTTTGACCTAGTTAGCGCATTGGGTAGGATCGGGGTAAAATAGCGGTTAACTTGCAATTTTGATGTGTTTAAACGAGTCCAGAAGCATGTATGCTTTACAAGAGAACCCATCTAAGTTGGCTTCTTATGGAATCAAATCATCTGTTGTTTTCAGCAATTCTAGTTATGCGTTTCTTGTAGATTAAGAAAGCTGTGGTTGACAGAAAAAGGGTTAAAGGTTCAGTATGTTCTTCTACTGTGTCAAATGTCTTAATCATGTTCTTATACTAAAATTTTTAACTATCATGTCTTTTTTCTCTTAATTACATTTGTATTTGATCCATCCCGTCATTTTTTCAGACAACGAAGATAATTTTTAGCATTTTTTGTTTTGTTAGTTTTGATATTTTTGTCTTCGTCATCTGAAAAAGTGATCAAAGGGATTAAATGCAGACACAACTAAGAATAGAGGGATATGATAGTTAAAAATTTTAATAGAAGGATACGATTAAGATATTTAAAATAGTAGAAGTATATCCCGAACCTTTAACCCGACAGAAAAATGGAGGTTAAGAGTAGAAAAAAAGAGGAGAGGCAAGAGGCAGAGACAGAGAGAGGAAGCGGTCAAATTTCTTTTGTTAATACAGCCAATAGAATTGGAAAAATTGATCCCACTGGCAATTGCTGTTCTGCTATTTTCTTTTCTGTTAAGAAGAGAGTAGAGCCAACTGGACAAGCCTGCTTGACCATGAAAACATGAAGAACATAAAAACTAAAATCACCTGGCAGGAATGGTAACAGAATCCATTCTTTGTGAGCTGGTTCAGGTCATCTTTGAATTACTTTGGCTACACAATTCTTTTTTTTAAAAAAAAAAGAAAATAAATATTTGTATTGCAGAGTTACTTTCAGTTATTACCCTCTAAAAATAGCAATTATTGAATAACAAACTAAAAATATGTCTTAAAAGTTATTTTCTGAATCCTCGACCTCCGAAGCAACCGTGAAAACTAGAGGAAGAGAATTGATGTAAGACTCAGTCATGGCTATCCCTCTTCCAATTTATAAGCTTCTCATCTCACTCTAACTTGGGTTTCCTTTCTCAGTGATTCCCCCTTTCTCACTCATAGCTGCGTTCTATTTTGAACGCGGCTAAATCACCTTCAGCCCAGCCGCAACCACACTTTCTTTTTCTTCTCCACATTTTCTTGTTGAAAAAAAAAAAAAATCATTCTTTCCCTGCAAGAAACTAGGAAATGAAAGCAAAAGTAGGGATGGAGATTCCTTGGCATCTGGTAATGCTATTTCTCGCTGCATTACCATCTACCCTTTTCATGTTTGCCATGGCCAAACCGACGACTATACAGATCCTGCAGCCCCACCCCCTGGCCTGGATGAATGCAATGGAATCTTTCTTACCTATACTTTCACATCTCGCGAAAAAGAATATCCAAAGGTAAAGAATGCATCCGCGCAGGCATGGGCGTTCAAATCATTGGCAACAATAACCAATACAGGCAAAGATGAACTGAAGGGGTGGCAGATGTTTGTAGGCTTTCAACACAAGGAAATTTTAGTGTCTGCTTCTGGGGCAATCATCGTGGATGGCGATGATTTCCCTGCAGAAGTTGGCAATGGGACAATCTTTGCGGGAAATCCACAGACTGACCTGAAGACTGCAATTGAAACAGCAGGAGATTTCACCCAGATTTCCGCACAGATTGAGATTACAGGCTCAGTGTTTGGGATCAAGCCACCAGGAGTTCCTATGCCAAAGAATATCAAGCTTGTTAATGATGGCTACAAATGCCCTAAAGCAACTTTGAAAGGTAACAATCCTAACGTCCTGATGGTCATATGTTTTTTCTTTTCCAACATGAAGGTTGCATAGAAGCAAAAATAAACATTTCCTTCAAATTAAGCATTGCATTGTGTTTATCTTCAATCAATTCACATAATTTATGTTCATACAGAGATTCTATTTTTTTCTTCTTTTCCGGCTCAAATCTGTGAGATGTTCTCGACCATGCCAAAAGGCAGGGACTTGAGTCTGCGTTCTTGCCCTCTTTTTGCCGCATGCCAATGATCACACTGTCTCGGATGAATTTTATATATTTCCTTCCCATATCATGCTTTATAAATGCCATCAAAAGTCCACAATCAACATTGCTACAATTTTCAGCTGTCCACAACTTTTTATTCTTTTCTATTTAAATTTTTAGATCATTTGCATCCTCAGATATATACAAGTTTGTATTATGTATTAAAAACACCCGTCTTTGATACCATGCCACAAATTGCAGCAGAAGTTTTCATAAATTCAATATTCATAGTTTATTTTCTTTCCATCGTAGGAAAAACCTACATGCAAGTTTGTTGTAAGAAGGATCCCAAAGCCAAGGTTGACAAGAAAAAGCTCAAGTTCTTGCCTCGTCGATATGGGGATCTCTCTCTAACTTACGATGTGCTTCAAGCCTACTCCAGCAGCTACGAGGCCCAAGTTACTATTGATAACATCAATCCATTAGGCCGGCTTGATCACTGGAACTTAACCTGGGAATGGATGAATGGAGAGTTTATTTCCACCATGAAAGGAGCCTACACTCACAAAAGAGACTATTCCGAGTGCATTTACGGTCCTGCAGGAAAATATTACAAAGATTTAGACTTCTCCACTATTATGAACTGTGACAAAAAGCCGGTCATCTCAGATCTTCCTGCGGATAGAAAAAATGATTCACAAGTTGGGAGGTTGCCGTACTGTTGTAGAAATGGTACCCTTTTGCCAGCTATAATGGATGAGAGCAAGGCAAGATCCATATTCCAATTGCAAGTCTACAAAATGCCTCCTTTCTTGAACAGAACTGCTCTTGTACCACCCGAGAAATGGAAGATTGATGGAGTTGTCAATCCTCAATACAAGTGTGGCGCTCCAATCAGAGTAGACCCATCAGAATTTCCAGATCCAAGCGGACTAAATTCTAAAACTTATGCTATAGCAAGTTGGCAAGTAACTTGCAACATAACGCGTCCGAAGGAGAAACTTGCGCGATGCTGTGTTTCTTTTTCTGCTTATTACAATAGATCTGCCATTCCCTGCAATACTTGTGCCTGTGGCTGTGATGATAATAAAGGTTGCAGCCAGACTGCAAGAGCAATGCTTCTCCCAACAGAGAGTCTTCTTCTGCCTTTTGAAAACAGGACTAAAAAGGCATTAGCATGGGCTGATCTCCATAAATTCAAAGTTCCAAACCCAAGACCTTGTCCTGATAATTGTCCAGTTAGCATCAATTGGCATATTGACTCTGATCACAACACTGGATGGACTGCTAGTGTCACTCTTTTCAACTGGGATGATTCTGTTTTCGAGGATTGGTTTGCTGCAATCCAAATAGACAAAGCCTACAGGGGCCTTGAAGGAGTGTATTCCTTCAACGGAACCAAGTTTGACAACCTCAACAGAACTATCTTCCTTCAAGGCCTACCAGGTTTGAATTTCTTGATGGGAGAGGTAAATGGCACTAGAAAAGGAGATCCAAGGATTCCTGGAAAGCAACAAACTAAGATATCATTTACCAAAAAACATACTCCAGGCATAAATATACCACGAGGCGATGGGTTTCCCACAAGAATACTTTTCAATGGAGAAGAGTGTGCGCTGCCTACGCAAATCCCCCGATCTAGTGCAGAGCAAAAATCTCATTTTAAGTTCCTCACAGTCATAATCATGGCAATCATGACTTTCATTCTGATGTCAGATCACCTCCGTTGATCATTGTTCGAAGTTAAAATTCGGGTTTTTTTTTCGTATGGAATTGGCTTGGGTAAGCTTTTTTTGCCTTTATTTGTTTCAGTGAAAGCTTTTTAGCAGCTCCATAAAGGCTAACAGGAACCACTTTCTTGCTCATGACACAACTTTTCTGCCTCAGCAGCGGAGCAGGAAGAAGACTGCAGCTTTCAGTGGACAAGAAATGGAGCATGATGCAACAATGAGTTCAGGGCCTGTATCTATTAAAGTTGATTATCAAAGGAAGATGGAGACATTCTAAAAAAGTTCGTATCTAAAGAAAAAGTGTCATAATTTTTACAAAACTCTTTAACTACCAGTACTAGTTAATTATATGCAAAACAGTGATGAATTGTCCTAACGTATACTGATTCCATAGCTGTCTTTTTGTTCACGTAGTATTTTCTGATAAGGTTTTAGTGGTAAATAGAATAACTTTCTTTCAGTACATTTGATCGAGGTTCTTCATTTTTTGCATCAAACGAAACCATATTAAATATATACTTAACTTTGCAATTCTATCCTGAAATAAAATTTTGCCGCCCCATGCATGCCAGCAAGGTTTGTCTTAGGTTTTTATGAATCTCAATAAGTAATGTTTCTTTAACTAACACATATTTTTACTAGGTTCACACAATGTTGTTTCCCAGAAACTAAGATTGCCATATTCTTGTCCCAAGAATTGGAACATAATGAATGGCTTTGGTAGTTTATTTCATCAAATAAAAATAATTAAAGTTGCAGTAAGGAAGAATTTGAGAAAACGGTTTCAATTGTTATTTAAATTGACAAAACTTTTAAGACCACCTGCTGGTGGCTGCAATTTGGACCTACCTCATATCGATTGGAACAGATTACGCTCAACAAGATCAGCTTAATTTCTGGGGTGACCTAACACGGCTAGCCCCAAGCAGAAGCAGTGAAAATATGGATAAAGGTGAAAATAACAAATGAATTTAAAGTTCTAGTGTTTGAATTTTTATACCAACTTGACTAATATTTGTTGATCAGAATTTTTGCAAGCCGCTGAGTTTATGAAGCACTTAGCTTCTGATATTAACTGTTAAGAAGTAATGAAACCACAGTTTTGTCTGGTCACCAACACATGAATTCTGAGTTCAACTGAGCAATAAATTTTGATAGACCAATGTATTGAGAATTATGTGAGTTCCCCAATTTAAATTATTATCTTCCTGCCTTTGGGTTCTAGCACTTTTAAGAGTCCCTAGTGGAGAAAATACAAGTTGGTTTATTCTTTGCCTACTTTAAATGTTTTGGCTCGGGTTTATGAGTTTATTTTTATCGTTATCATTTCGGAGTCGAAACTAAAAAGAGATTGCGGGAAAAAAAAAAAAAAAAATTCTAATGAATACACTAGTCTAAACGTGGATAACATGTCTAAAACTTAATAGGGATGAAATTTAATATTATTACGAAACAATTGGTCCAAAATACCTCAACCTTAAGATCAAACAAAAGTATTTTCATAAGTAAGAATTTATGATTCTGGATAACACGTTGCATTCGAGTATTCCAAGCAGACCAGGTCTAGGGTAGGATCCGTGACCAAAGCTGACAACCAATCAAAGACTGACTAGTGCCTCAGCAGGACGTCATTACCTCTAATATTATACGAGACTTTGCCCCGGATGAAGAAGATACTCTTCACCCGCTGTCAAAAAAGATAAAACATTTAATAAAGGCATTCTTTCAAAATTGCCCTTGTCCAATTAATACCAACCATTAGAGAAGAAATCACATCAAAGGCATAGATCCCCTAATTTGGCATCAAAGACTGTCGACAATCAAGGAATAGACCATTTCACCCCTCTCGGTATGCAACTTGACAGAAATCTCATGTAGACAAGAACCCTAAATACCAAGGGTTCTAGGTTTTGAATCTTACTCCTATTTTATACTAGTATTCATTGTCTTTTATGCACACAAAAAGATACAAACAAAGCCTATTCAAGCATCTCCTCTATTAAATCACTAACTTAGTCATCGGATGGTCTCTCGACCCACTAGGGAGTCTTATCCTGCAAGTAACTTGAGTATAAAGGATCTCCATAAGCCATCAATCTCCATCATCAATTTTCAGCTATAGAGATTCACGTAATCACTTATCATTATTTAAGTTTCTTAGACTCGTCGGTTGGCATCGTTTGTGGAGACTCGAGAAAAAAGCCAATTTATACCATCAAAATTCGACTCTCCAAGCTTTTTCATGGATAAAAATCAAGAAGCCCCAAGTCGTGTGACCTCGTCGGACTTTGCCGATCCTAGTATCCAATTCATAGACATTGTCCAATTACAACAAAACGTACAAAACCTTACGAAGTGTTTCGATGGTGCAAGAGCATATAAAGGCATTGACCATGCCTCCACCAACACTACTAAGCACCTCGTTGTGCTCGATTATTGGAAACACCCACAACATTACGTGTTGCACCGCATGTAAAGGGAGCCCTGTCTTCCCCTTATGTAAACAAACATGACCAACATTCTATTAAAGAAAAAAGGAGGATGTAATGATGTGAGAAGTAGTGAACAAGAGAAGCATCATTCTTCGAATCCTAAATGAGCCATCCTTGTCGTCATGGCAAAAAACCAATGAGTTAAGACTCTCGCGAGTAAGAGAAAAAGAATAAAGGTTGGAACACCATCATGATGCTAAATTTAGATACGGTTTGCAAAGATCACCACGAAAGATGCCATAAGAGTACCTCCTCGGCCCCTTAATGAGCCTTAAACCCAAACACTAGCGTGAATAAAGAAAACCTACCTCCACCACCCAATCAAACTTGGACCACTATGGCCATAGGTTCCGAGCTTCTCATTTTCCCCTATATTATGAACACTACCATCCAAAAAGTTCATCTTGAAAAACAAGAAACCTCAACAAGTATGATAGATCTATTAATCCCAATGAGCATGTATAAAATATAAAGGGGAGCCTCAAGTCGGTGCTACTAAGGATAGACGCCCATTGTAAAATACTACCTTTTACCTTTTAAGGCATAACCATGAAATGGTATAACGGTTTGGATCCCGAATTCATCCTCTATTTTGAAGATCTTAGCTCTAAGTTGGTGCCTTTCTTTTTCACCAACATCTCTGCTAAAAGAAGTTCAGCGACTTTTTCTCAATCTCCTAAAAAAGAGAGAGCACTCAGCATACCTCTCTTATTTTTATAAGAAAATGTTAAAAGTTGATCTGGCTATTAGAACTCGTAGCGATAGAAGCCCTTAGAAAGGGTATTAGTGATGCCAACCTATAAAGGAAAATATATGTTCTCACCAACAAAAACCTCTACTTGATGAAAAAGATTGTGGAAAGCCATATCCAGGCGAAGAAGCTATCTTAGCCTAGAAATACTCATTTTTAGAAACCCATAGAAAAGTGAGAATAAAAAAATCCCCACAAGCCAATTCCAATCCAAAAAGAGAATCCTAAAGGTCCTATCCATAACTTGCGAGTCTTTCTCGAGCTTCAAAAATGCCATTGAACACAACCCGAATGACAATGTTTCGTCGTTATCCAGGAAAAAGGATATATAAATCACCTTCCTCTAATGAGAGGTCCCTCGCACCTTTATAACCTAAAAAAAATACTACTATTACCATCGGGACAACGACCATGATACAAAGGATTTCTATTTCTAGAAAAAAAAATTGGAAGATTAATAGGATACCTTAAACAATTTCTTAGGCAAGGACCTAAACCGAATTGGGTTGAAACATAGCTAATTTATCGTCAAGAAGATCTTCTAAAAGTCGATGTCATATTGGAAGGATGACCAACTTATAATGAACCTAGCCAAAGGGGAAAATTAAGTGAAAACATGATCCTCACCAACATCCAAGGTACAATGCCATGGCACAAATTGATTGTATTCGCTCCAAGAGATGTAGAAGATATGACCTAACCTCATGACAATGCCTTGATCATCTCTACTATCCTCTCTAACTATAAAGTCCATCACATCCTAGTAGGCAACAAAAATGCAATGAATATCTTATCTCGTAAAGCCTTGATAAAGATGAATCCCCTCAAACTTTAATAGACAAAGACTTAGTTGATGGATGTAGAAGGAGGGAAAGTACTCATAGAAGGAACCATAAAAATTACAATGACAAAATGTAAATACTCTAAAAGCATCGGTGTAAATCTCATTTTTACAATCATAAAGATGAATCGGACGTACAACGTTATCTTTATGAATTCGTTTCTATACAAAATAAATATTGTAACCTATATGTGGTACCCTTCGCTGAAATTTCCCATACTAGGAGGAACTACCGCGATTATGGGTACCCAATTAAATTAAAAAAAAAAAAGTCCATATCATCAAAAGGCCCGGACAAACGGACCTAGGGATAAGAAGCAACACCGGTAAAAGACGTCAAGTGTTCAAGGGTATGATTTAGAGATATTATTGCATATGCCTAATGTTATAGGCATGGCATAATGTATTACCAAATGGGCTCCTCTTATATATATATATAAATATAAGAGATCGATTGAAAATCTCTCCTTCTAATAAGAATCCCATTATCCTATTTTAAAACCATATTTCCTCTAGGAGAAGACTTCAAGTCCATATTCTTCGTAAAATGAATGACCATATTTCCTTTAGGAGAAGAGTTTAGAGCTATATTTCTTAAGGAACAAACGACCACATCCTCTAAGAAAAGTCCAAGGCCATATTTCTCAAAAAATGAACAACTACATTTCCTCTAAAAGAAGAGTTTAAGGCAATATTTCTTAGGAAACAAACGACCACATCCTTCAAGAAAAGTTCAAGACTATATTTCTTAAAAAATAGATGGCCACATTGTCTAAAGAGAGAAAAGTTCAAAGCCATATTTCTCGGGAAACAAACCACAATATCTTTCCGGAAAAAATAAAGAAGGACAAGTTCAACATGATACTTCTAAGGAAACAAATGATCCTTTCTCTAGAAAAGCAATTCCCGGATACTACCAAGGAAACAAATGACCTCTCTCTAGAAAATCAATTCTTAATGGAACCATTGGCCTTAACTCTCTAAAAATTAAGATCCATCGGGAATCGTAGCTAGATTCTAAAGACTTCAAAAATTACTTTTGATTTACTCGTACCAAAGGACTAGCCAAGAATTTACTTTAAGACGTGAAGATCACAAGCTCAAAACAAACACTTGAACGAAGATTCCTCGTTGAAAAAAAAAATAAACCAACTAGTTTTTCCAAGCCAAAAAATTGGCAAGATAAGGTACTA